CTTCTTTTTCATCCCATTTTTCTCTTTCTCCTTATATTTCTTCTTTTTTCCCTTCTTTCTCCTTTTTCAGCATATCTTTCTCTTCCTTCTTATACTCCTTCCTTTTCCCATTATCTTTACCTTCTTCCTTACATTCCGTCTTTTGCACCTTATTTTTTCTTCCTTCTTATTTTCCTTTTTCCCTTTCTCTACCTCTTTATATTCCTTTTTTTTCCTTCTCTTTCTCTTCCTCCTTATATTCCTTCTTTTTCCTTATCTTTCTTTTTCCTTATATTCCTTCTTTTTTGCCTTCTTTCTCTTCTTTCTTATATTCCTTCTTTTTTACATTATCTTTCTCTTCTACCTTATATTTCTTCTTTTTTGCTTTCTCTTTCTCTTTATATTTCTCATTTTTCTCTTCCTTTTTATACTCTTTCTTTTTCACCTTATCTTTCTCTTCCTCCCTATTTTCCTTCTTTTTTGTCTTATCTTTCTCTTCCCCTTTATATTCCTTCTTTTTTGCCTTGTCTTTCTCTTCCCCCTTATACTCCTTTCCCCCCTCTTGTATTTCTCTTCCTGCTTATACTCCTTCTTTTTAACAGTATCTCCTCCCCACCTCTCACAACATCCTTCTTCCCATCTTTGACAACAAAAGCATCCTCCATATTCTTCCTGAGCAAAATCATTTAGCCCATTTTCAGTATCTGGAACCTGCTATTGTAATGCATTTAGCCTTTGCAATTCTTCCATCCATTTGAATGCTTTTACAAATTCCCTGCAGCAAAGCTGAGAGGCCATTTACCTCCTCCTTGTTCACTTAGCAGAGAATGTATCTATTGTCTCTGTAAGGAAGCTGCTAGCCATTACTGCTGAGAGCACCCATTTGAATTATTACTTGTTAATACAAACAAAAGATGAAAACAAAACATAAGACTAAGCTTGTTTTTACTTTTATATAAGCGCAACTACTGCCAAGCAACAAACAAGACGTTTATCATTATAGATTTCCTTTTCAAACAAGAAATTTCTTGCTCTCTGTTATTTGTCATTATTATTTCTAATGTACAGAACAACAGAAAACTTTTGCTAATAACTAAAGATTTAGGTTGTGTTTCTCTCAGTGACTGGTTAATCAGCTTTTCTTTCTGTTTTTAATCAAACTTCTAGAATTCTATTGCTGTTAAAAGCAAAAATAGGCCTATCAACTGTGAACACAGAAAATTATGGGAGAATATGATATTGCCGTGGAAACTATGACAAAGTGGAAAAAGTTTTCATATGACACATTTCACACTAAAGTGATGTTTACATTGATGTGACTAAATGTGTACACAAAGGAGACGGGATATTGAGAATTATAAATTATTTTTTTTTGTTTTAAATATATGTTTTGGATATATAATAAGATCCACCAAGAAAAGAGAAATGTTGTAAGAACCTAGATGTAAATTTACTGTAGATTATCTAGTGATTAAAGTACTTTCTATACATTTTCGTCTCAGTAAGTTGCTTTCTCTTTTGATTAGAGTAGCATTTTTCAAATCAAAATCATGGTTACACTTATTATACTGAGTAACTAATGCATTGAGTGTGTTGTTTTGTAAAAGATCCCTTTTGCGTTCATATAATCTTTTATTTAAATGGCTTGAGGTTTCTCCTATGTATTTCATGTTGCAATTATTACAGATGCTAGAGTAAATTCCTCCTTCAGATTTTAGCTTATTATTTTTTGTATTAAGTTTTCTATTGTTTTGGAAGTAGTTGTAACAGATTTTATGTTAAGCTTAGATAAATTCTTTTCATTTGTTACACATTCAGAGTGGCAAATGAAAAAGTTATATGTAATATGTTTCATCCTCTAAAAGGACTTCATGAAGTAATGTTTTTATCGATGGAATTATATATATATATATATATATATATATATATATATATATATATATATGAAGAAGAGGGGTATATAACAACAGAAATGATGCATGTACTTTAAGTTAAGAGTGCTATAGAGAATAATTTAATTAGGTATTAAATTAACAAAGATATTAATTAAAAAAAGAGAGGAATTAATTTCCAGTCATTCAGCCACAAAATTTAAGCCCTCATTAAGTCAAATATCACTGTATATATTTCAGTTATTAAAAATATATTATTAAAAAATAAAATAAAGATAAAAAAATTGATGTTATGGATAATGTATTTTATGTGTAACGGTTTTATCTTGTTTTTGTCTGAATTTCTGGATTGAGGTGTTATAATTTATATTATTTACGGTCTGACTAATATCTTCATCTTTGTTGTTATTATCACAATATTTTGGCTGGTTTGTAAAAATACAGACTCAGGCGAGTAGTAACAGAGCAGTACTAAAATAACAAACAAACAAGATGAGATATACCCAAACACGGACAGTGGAACAAGAATACTCTACTGCTGTAGATTGAATAAAGAGTTCAGTTTGAATTTTAGTGAAGGTCACCCAGATTGACAGACACCTGAAGAAGGCCAGAAAACAAAACAGCCAAAATATTGTAATAAGAACAAAAAATGAGGATTTTAGTTCAACTGTATATTTTGTAAAGAGTTTTCTCTTGTCTTTCTATCTCTCTCTACTTCCTACAGTACTTTCAGACAATATCCTTGCTATCATAATATATTCTTTCTCTTCATTTTCAGACAGAATCTTTCTCTCTGTCACTATATATTTTTTTATCATGTTTGGTTAAATAATATGGACAAGTTCTCTCTATTATTTTATAAAGTTTTGAAATTTCAGAAGTTCATATTTATCTTTATTTTATATTATTTTTTTCTGAGTACTTTTGAATGTTGCTTCATTCATTTTCAAGGATTGTTCTGTGTATATTTATGCATATTTTTTTTTAATTCTGGCATTTATATGATTGATGGAACCCATTGCAAGCCATTCAAAGTGATGTCATTTATATGCTCAAACTGAAATTTTTATGTCTGTGTGTGTGTGTAATATATATATATATATATACAGGGGTCCTCAACATTGCAACAGTTGTAATACAATTTTCTTTAAAAGTCGGAATGTATCCATGATTTTCCATGAATAAGCACTCACTCACCAACAGTCCAGTATGGTTTGCAACCAGGAACTGACCCACACTGCCTTCCTCAATTTAGCGCTATATGATGATGTATTCTTTCACCACACCATATGTACGAGCCAAACAGCATAAGACAAAACAAGATTAATAGAGATTGCATTGTAACCACGAATCGTCGTAGGTCGAGACTGTCGTAACCTGGGAACTTACTGTATATGTGTGTGTGTGTGTGTGTGTGTATGTGTGTGTGTGTGTGTGTGTGTGTGTATATATATATATATATATATATATATATATATATATTCTAACGGGGGGTTCAACTCAGAATATAAATAAGAATTCCAAGGTCTTTTTTTGGTTTCTCAAATTTTCCCTTTTACTGTTCTTTTCTATTCTCTTGTTTTTCTTTGCTTTCTTCAACACCTCCTCCCCTTCTCTCCCTCCCTTGCATCTCATTTACTTCACTTCCTTCCCTTTTTCTTGTTCTGATCTCTTTCTTCACCTCTTCACCCTCTTTTCAGTTACTCCCCTTCATTCTTTTATCTCTTACCTGCTTCAATCCTGCTCCTTCCTCTACTTTATTTTATCTTTTACTCTGTTATCCTTCTTTTCTTCTATTTCTTATCAATTCCACCATCAAATCTTCCTCATCCATTTCTTCCCATCTCTCTCTTCTCTCCTCTTCTCCTTTCTCCTAAATCTTTTACTGCTTGTTATTCTCTTCCTACTCATTTCCATCCCAAGAACCTTTTAAAGCAACAGACTGGCTTCCTTCAAACAATTCTTCAAACATCCCTGCTTCATGGAGCCTGATAAAATTCACTGTTTACACATCAATTAGGTTATTAGTACTGTTGCCACTGGCTGGCAGCCATGATTGCCAGCCACCCAGTCAGGCAGGGCAGACAAATGACAGCTGAGGTAAAGGAAAGACAATGAGGTAAAATAGACAGGCAGTTTTCAATAAGTGTGCTTGAGTGTTGATATCAGTGTTGACATTGTCCATTGATTTGGTAGAAATTTGGGCTAATTAATACAAGACCAAAAACAGCAGCAGCAGAATCCATTGACTGAGCATCCTTATTGGGTCTGATGATAACATAGGTTGATTTTGGGGTTTCCTTGCTTTATTTTCTTTTTCCTCTTCAATTTTTTCCAACAGTTTTTTCTTCTTCTTCTCTTCTACTCTGTCCGTTTTTTTCTATGTCCCTCCATTTTAATTTTCACTTTTGCTTCTGTTTCTTTTTTTGTTTTCTTTGACATTGCTACTTTTGCCTCATTTTTATTTTTCTAATCTTTCTTTTTTACTTCCTTCTCTTCCTTCTTCCTCTTTTTTGTTCTCCTCATTTTTTATTCTCTACTTCCTCTTTCTTACTCCTCCCTATTCTTCTCTATTTTATTCTTTTATTCCTTCTGTCATTTTCTTCTTTCCTTTATTCTCTTTCTGCTTTTATGTTTTATCATCATCTATTTTTTAACTCCTTCACTTCTTTATTATGTTTACCTTCTCTTTCTTTATTCTCCATCAGTCATTTTTCTCTTTTTCCTTCGCTTATTACTTTTATTCTCTTTTCTTCTTTCTTTGTTTACTTCTTCCCTTTTTTTTTTACTATTACTTCTTTCTCTTCATTTACCATCATTTCTTTTTGTTAGTTTCTCAAATTATTCTTCCTTGCATTTTTTCATGTTTTTTTATTCACACTTTTATTTAAATTCATTCCTCTTTCTTTTCTTTTCTTTTCTTTTTATTCCATCCACTATTTTTCGTTCCCTCATTTTTTCTTCATTTAATTTTGCTTACTCTCCCTTTGCATTTTTTCATTTACTTCATTCCATCATCATCGTCATCATAAGTCTTCTCTCCTTACACAATGATTGATGCATACCAGTGTTTTTAAAGAGCAATGATAAGAAGTCAGAAAGGAAGAAGGGAGGGGGAGTTCCAAGATGGTGCCAGACATGAGGTGGAAATGTGAAGTCATTTTAGCAATTTCTATCTCTGCTTACCTTGCTCCTACTGCTATCATATTATTCTTCAAGAAGATGGAAACAGCCAAAGCTATAGCTGCCCCATCTGCTGTTAGACATCATTTTCAGATCTTGTCTTCAGACCTTAGGCTTGTTCATAACAACGACAACAACAGTTCAGGCCAAAAATAGAGTACATTTGCCATATCTGGGTTCGAGCTGCCCAATCCACACTTTCTGACCTTTTTAGAGTTTGAAAGCGTTTATACAGCCTTGTAGGTGATGAATTATTTTTCACCCTACAATGTCTTTCCCACAGAAGAAACATTAGAAGTCTCTGGCTATTCCATCGCTATTTCCATGGAAAATGTTGTAACAAACCACATCCACATGTAACAATGCCTTTAACTAATGTAACTAATGCCTTTATCCACTGTGCGTTAGTTAGATCCAGTGACAGGACCCAAAGAGTGTAAGTTCAATACCTGATTAAGGCAGTGCAGAACTTTCAGAGGGAAATTAACAGGAGATAACTGATAACTGACATCCATTAAACATGGCGCATGGAACTAGAACAGTCTACCCCAGTGAGCAAATTAAAGGGTTCAGTTCGACATTCCAACCACCTGAAGAAGGCTGGAGCATACAACAGCTGAAACGTTGTAATAAATATGGCGACAAAGATGAGGACAATAGTCCAAATAATGTAAATAATCTGCACTTCTTCTTTTCACCTCTTGTTATACAACAACCTTATTCAGTAACCCTCTACTTTGGTTGGCCATTAAGCTTGTATTGTGTGAACAATTAGTAAAACAAAAAAGAAAGAAAGGAAACAAATAGTGACATTTATACACAGTGAAAGAAGTATGAGGTATACTAAATTAGTGGCAAGGTCTCGTAAATTCACAATTGAATTAGCTAGATGTAACCATAAGTTCTATATTAACATTTTCTTCCTTTGCACTTCTCGCTTGTGGAACTCTCTTCTGGCTCCATGCTTTGCAACCCACTTTGATCTTCAAAAATTTAAATGCACTGTCCTCTTGATTACTCTTCTATTGTTCTCACTCCTCAATAATTTTTCTCTTTTTTCATATCTTTCACACTCAGTAACACCGTGTAGCTTAGTAGCTCTTCTGCCTTGTAAGGGGTGATATTGATTTTTTTTTTTTTCAAATCAGTACAGTTACAAAACGGACAAAATTGGAAACATCAACTGTAGTATCAGAATTCTTGTTCATGACAATGGATACGACTGGGAAAGTTTTAGAAAGTGTGAAGCAAGAAGCAAGAGAAGAAAAAAAAACTGACTTCTCATTGTTCAAGGAGATTATTTGCCAAGATTTCTTTTAAGCCAAATAACATTGAAGAATAGCTAAATTTTGAGGCACAATTACATGCCACTTATGGTCTCAGGAATCTCACTTGCTCATTTTCTGGGACTGGACAACAGAATTAGAAAAGGATGATTCTTATTGTGACCCTCATCACCCAGCTCTCACCTTAATGTCTGTTCTCCTTTCCATTTATTTTTTTTCTTTTTTGCCATTGGCACAGTGAATTGAATACAGCCTCCTTTATTCTGAAATAAGTGTCTGTATTTTCTAATTCATTCTTGGAGAAAAGATTCTTCTCAGGGATTTATCTTTATTTTTTTATTTGAGGGATTTGTTAAAATTCTTTTTTGTTTCTTCATTTTTTTTTTTGCTTCCTTCTTTCATTTTTTTTTCACATTTATTTCCTTCTCTTTTTAAAACCTTCTTAAAGTCTTTTATATTATTTCCCTTCTCTTTCCTTCTTGTAATTTATTCTTTTTATTTTTCTCAAGTCTTTCTTAGTTTTTTTTTCATTCAACTTCTTTCTTGCACTACTTCACACAATCATTCTTTTCTACTTGATGATTTATTTCCTTCCCCTTTTTTGTCTTGCTCTGTTCTATCCATATTTTTTATCCAACTCTTTTAGAGCCCATTACACAGCCAGAACCTCTACAGAGGTTCATTAGTTTTCTTCTTTCCTATTGGTAACACTTGCACATTCACTACTGTGTTGAAACGGCACAGCCATTTCCAATAAAAATAAAAATATTCACTAATGGCAGAACTTGCTTTGAGGAGTTGGCCATTTTATGTCTTGCCTTCTTAAAGATTTTTTTAAAACCAAATCTCCAACTTGTTATCATTTTGTTTCTTCTTTTTTAATCCTTTTACATTTCATTTTCTTTTTGTCACTTTAGTATAATTTTTATCCTTTTTTATTGTCGAACAGCAGAGTAAATTTAATGCTCCATTTGTGTGCAAGATTGCAGCCATATGATTTCAGTACAGTTTGACATCTCTTAACAGAACATGGAAGACAGTTTCTAGAGTAAATATCTAGACGTCTATAAATTTAGAATTTGAAGATTTTAATTTCTCGAGATGTGGATTTGTGTTTATATGGAATCAGTTGGATTTGAGCTTGTTGGTCTATGGCGTATAAGAATGGATAATTCAAAAACAGATTTTGTTGTCTTTAATTTTTCCTTTTTCTCTCGCAGAATTTAAGCTCACTTCAAATTGTCACTATATATTTGTGAATTGATATCTATCTATCTATAGATTTATCTTATGCAGCAACAATTTCCAATCTGATAGAAATCAGGCGCTATTGCTTGTGTGCTAAAAGTTGGAATTCTAATTCAAGAGATTGTATTTAAATTGTGATATTGTGAAGGGTTAACAAAAAATAGATCTGTTTATCCTTAAAATCAATATGGATACTTGTGTCATTGAGTACATCTACAGCAGATGTGCAAACGAAATGCCAAAATAAACATCTAAATCTACTTTGTTGCTTTTCCATTTAGAATGTTTTTTTTTTTGTTTTTTTTTTTTTTACTAATGTTCACTCAGTACAAAACTCAAGAGTCACTCAAAGTAGAGGGTTTTGGTATGTTGTTTTATGATCATAAGAGAAAAGAATGCAGAATCTGTCTGAGTGGAACTTATATTTTACTAATGGAATTCAAAAGGAATAAGGATGATCCTTATGTATGTGGCATGGTGGGTCCCAGCTGCAAAGGTCAAGATTGGTGGGGATAAGGAAATATATCAGTAAAGAAATATATATCAATTGCTAAAACCTCCTGATGAGTGGACTAAACAATTACAAAAGGTTTGTCTATGGAAATGAGGTGCTGAATATAATATCAATAAACTAGGTGACAAATTTTATTTGTATTATATATATATATATATATATATGATAATGATATATAAATTTTTATACAAATTTTTTCATATATACATTACAGTTTTGAAAGAAAAATGTATCACAAGTTGGAAAAACTTTTCACAATTTGTCATACATCTTTTCTTTCAAAAAATAATAAATATATATATATATATATATATATATATATATATATATATATAAATAATAGCTGGCCACTTGTATTCAAGAATACCCATCTACTAAGGCAGCTAGCCAATCCCTATTACAGACGCTCACTCAGGCACATTTGTGTTTGCTCAACACCCTCAAAGCCAACCTGTGGTTTATACTGCAACTATGTTCAGCAGACATTAGTTACAGTTTCTAGGAGAGAGTGTGTTATCTAGCATGATCAACATTTTGAACAAGGCCAGCACGTTCAAGCCCTTGGCCACGATGACTTGTGTCATCATGCTAGCACAGCTATCGATGGCCCACAAGATTTCTGTCTGCCCAATTTCATGCACAGGATTTGGGTCAAACTGTGGTATAGTTTTCAGGCACTTTCCAAAAGTGCCACACATTGGGATTGATCTCAATTCAGTCCGATAACATCAGGAAGTCACCTTCCTGACAAATCAACCATGGTGAGATTTGAACCTGGGTCTCATGGTCAGAAAGTGAATGTTCTAACCACTCAGCCACGCACTATATATATATATATATATATATATATATATATAAAAAAAAAAATAAAAACAGACTCTGGACACCCAGTGTTGATACCTATGCCCACATATATATTTATATGTATAGATAGATAGATATGTTTGTGTATGTATCTGCATATGTATATTTAAAATTTGATGATAATGGTATATACATAAAACATTTTGTAAACATTTTTCTATTTTCATATTTCTCCAATGATCCAGCATCATTAGATAAAGAAACATGAATTTTCCTTTGTCTTATACAAGGGTCACTCAATAATTAAGGTCTCCTATTTTATTATGTTGGCCCATGGCAGTCGTTGTGGAACCTTCCCACCAATAAGCCATAATTTTATTTTATTTATTTACACATAGTAGCTGAGTGGTAATCTGGTAAAGTGAGGTCTGATATGAAAGTGTGTTTGAAACAAAGATATTTAAGTGAATGCCTCTCTGCATATTTATAGAGAGCAAACAATGAATATGAGTGCAGTTATGCAATAAGTAAATGCATTTTGCAAAATGATAGATTCTTGGTGAGAATGAGATGGGTGAACATTAAAAAATAGAAAGCGTTACGTCTGGAACAACCACTTTGATATATTTTTGAATTTTGTGTATATGTGTTCTGTATGTGTATATTAGCTGAAGAATTGGTAACTTTTCCAAATTAACTGATTACTCAGAATCTAGCAAGCAGAAATGCTATTCTAAAAATTACAAAATTGTCAACTGTATACAAACTGCTGTCTCAGATCCAGGATTAAAAGTGGCTTCAAGTGAATGAATCCTCTAGGTCTTAGTGAGGACCATCCTTCTTCAAGCCTTGTGGACTGGCACTACAGAATCACAAACAAAGGAATGTACCAAATAACAGAAACCACATCCCTTGCAGACCATCAACAGCATCAACAACTAAAATGAATATCACATTTAACTCTAGGAAATAATATCATCATGATGTTGATATTCCACACTACTTCAAACAAAAGGTTAGGAAGGAAGCCCCCATCAATACTGGAAAGAGCAATAACAGTGAACTTAAGAAATTTATTTTTGTGAAAAATTGTTTAAATAGAATCATTCTATAAATTCTAAGTGAATGCTGCACTGGCTGTTTCATCAATGAATACTGAATATGTCCATATAAGGAAATGGATAATATTAACAGGGCCGAATTATGAATTTTTGGGATGCCAAGGCTAATAAAATTTTGGGACCACCTTCAGATAGACACACCCTCTAACTTGCTGTCACCCATCTTGAATATTTTTTACTTGTGATATATTTTAGCACCATTTACATAGCTTGATGTAAACTTATTGCAAATTCTTTAAATAAACTAGAATAGCTATCTTTTGTTTGTCAATAAAAATATTCTTTAAGAAATGCCACTATTTTACTATTTATTGCAAACCAAATTAGCACATATTTCAACACAACAGTAGTAAAAAACATTTTTTATAACCAGCATTCTAGCAATAAATCAATCAAAATAAATATCGTATTGATATCATTTCAGTTTATGAAACTATTTAGAAGTTGTTATAACTTCTAGAAATTAAAATCACTGCTTTATAAAAATTTCCTAGATTTAAACATTCTGAACTAAAACATGTAATCTACTTGAAACACAATGACACAAACTAAAATCTTCTTTTCCTTGCTTTGCTTATTGCAAAGTCAAATAAATATGAGTTTGTCATATTGATATCATTTCAGTTCATGAAAGTATTTAGAATTTATAACATCTAGAAAATTAAAACCATTTCTTTATAAAAGATTGAGTGGCCCTATGCTACAGCCAATACTAACCTAAAGGATAATCTGGTCCTGAAAATCACTGTTACCATTGGCTTTAGATTCTTTAACTAATGACCATTTGAATATGCCATAATCTTATATGTCATGAAATACTTAGATTTTTTTTCAATGAATGTTAGTCATTTTATTAATTTTCAAATTACACCAAAGTGTTTTCTCACTTTGAACTTAGGTTTGAATTATTTTATATGTCGACTCTCATGATGACACTTTACATACATGACTTCATTTTTCTTTAAACATTACACTTTATCTTCTCTAGTTCAATATTCTAATGTCAAATTATCTCACAAAATAAAATTAAAGTTGGCAAGGTTGCCAACTTGAAATCTCTGTTCTTAAATGGGTTCTTCAACATCAAACTTAATAATAATTAAGAGATTCATGTTGTTTACTTTGAGTAAATCTAAGATTCTTGAATAACTGACAAGAAAGGTAGAAATTTTTTTTTTTTTAGTTTTTTCCTTTTTGAGAAAGGCTCTTAAAGAAAGTTGTTTACACGTCCAGGGAAAATAAACAAAGAAGTCAATCAAAGAATGAAAATCTTCAAATGCTCACAACATAAGTTGAAAATCTTTTAATCCTTTATCTGATGGCCTATAGAACCAACACACTTACTCTTCTTCTTTTATATGCCTTGACCCTTCAGGACATGGGTAATTTTTGTGTTTCTTTCCTTCCCTGTCTCAAGAACAGTAATCTCCTTTTATACACCACAATACACACTCCCTATTTTTAAGTAAAACCATTTGTTTTTTTGTAAGATTAAAGAAAACCATTTTCTTGTAGAAAAATAAATACAACCATTTTTTCCATATAACATAATCCAAAAACCACAGCGATCGTGGCCCTCAACGACTTCCTATCTTTGTTGCTTTTGCCTGATATGACAAACATGCTGAGAGAAGGACAACTTTGAATTCCAAACCATAGAGAAGGCAACAGGAAACCACACCACTACCTTTTCCAAGAACACTGATGTAGATATAAAAGAAATTGGAAGCTGTGGAGAGTCATGATTATCTATGTCCTGGAACAATTTTCATTCATGCAAAACCCTGTGAATAGACTTCACAGTTTTCTTTGATTTATTAATATTATCCAGATGCAGTAATGACATTTGTGAATTGTCAAAAATTGTATTAAAATACATTCTTGTATAAGAAACGAAAACATAATTGTTCTACAAACCAGAAATGACTTTAAGATTCATATTTTCTATAATTTTATTTAATCTTATTTTATGTACTGTGACCCTTCAGCATTTGTCGCTCTAAGCAATGTTTTCCCCCTATTCTCCCTCCCAGTCCATTTTGCTCCCCATTTTTGCAAGCTCATTAGGTGAAAAGACTCGATACGTGGTTCTGCACTAGGTTAGTAAGTGTTTACCTCTTTTTCTCTTACCTTTGGTATGTCCTGCAAGTGTCAAATTCTCCAAACCCTCTTTCCACATTATCTGTCCTAGAAATTTCAACTGGATCTTTCTGATTTTAAGTACAAGTGTCTTTTTTTGGTTTCCATTTTTCCTTAAAACTTTCTCGTTATTCACATTTTCTGTCCATGTTATTCTCAGCATCCGTCTGTAGAGCAACGTCTCTTTTGTCCCAAGTTTTGTCTTTACCTAATCCCAGTGTTATGAAATTAGGCAAAGTACAAGAACCAGTCATCAACATTAATCTAAAAAATGCCTTAACTTCAAATAGAAGATGCAGGAGATATTTTTAAGCAATTTTTTTAAAGATAGCCTATCAAATACTTGAATTTTTTTATTTACGTTTCTTTTGGTTTTAATCAATTCTCTCCAAGCAAAGCAAAAATTCTACTAATACACAAGGAGCTAGTGGGAGGAAAAAAGAATGAGAAAACTTTAGAAAGAATCAGAAACCCAATACTAGACAGGAAACCTCTACTCTTGTTCAGAAGACCAGGGAGGAGTGTGAACTGGATGAAAGGCAAACTTAACTACTCCTATTGTTAAAATAAGTACTAATTCATTTCCTCTAACAAAAACCTGAAAAAAATTCTTTTGAAGATGAGTCACTTGAAATTTTAAAAAAATTAACAGCTTTTATAGTAGGGGTCATATAAAAATTCAGAGAGGTCACAAGTGCAGTCAAAAATTTTTGACTTTTTATTCTAGCAGCCATAATATATATGAACTGGTTTTTCATTTCTTTTAAGACAAAACAAGTCTCTTTTCTACACATTTTTTTTAAAACTTAATTCCTTTGTGTATTTTAAAATTAATAACACTGATTTTACTTTTGACTTTTTAAAACTTAGTAGCTGCTGCTGATTTTTATTTATTTGAATTTGTGACCCAGAAAAAAATCGAAAACAAAAAAATTATTGTTGAAAGAAAACAATTTTTGTCTGAATTTCTGGTATGAGGAGTTAGCATTATTTACACTATTTACATTCAGACTATTGTCCTCATCTTTGTTGTTGTTATCAAAATGTTTTGGCTGTTGTACTTTCTGTACCTTTTATTTAATCTATGAGGGTAGATGGTTCTCATTTCACTCCTCATGTATAGGGGTCTCTTGTCTAGGTCTTATTTTTAGAATTTAGAGCAGTGGTTCCTAAACTTTTTTTTTCTCTGGGCTACATTTTTGGAATGAAAATTTGCTTGTGTCTCACCAAATTTTATGTGATAAAAAGTACTTTTAAAAATAAAAAAATAGAGAGAGGATTAAAGGAAGATAACCGCAAATTCGAAATCAGAACATTATCATTGATAACTCTCTCCTCCAATTTGTGGACTCTAGTTACTATATTCTTAATATTTGATATAATGCAAAAATATCACATTGATAAAATCTGTCAATAATTATCTATAACTATTTATACTTGAACTCATGCAGTTACAAGTAATCCATGATAATATTTTAAATTTTGAAATCATATTTATTTTTAGAATATGAATTTTTTAAAACTGTTTCTAAATCTTTGATTGTCTTTCAATCATTCTGCCTCACCTGCTATCCTTTTCTGCTGCACCTATGAGACATGCTTCATCATTTGGGAATCACTGGTTAAAGATATCTCTATACATGGGCAGTATAATAAGAACAATCAACTCCTCATAAATTAAATAAAGGTTCAGTTCAGATGTACACCAGATGAATGTTGAAGAGCACAATAGTGGAAACATAGTGATAAGAGCAACAAAAATGAGGATAATAATCAGAATGTAAATAGTGTAAATAAAATAAAACAAATTATGCATTTATTTTTGTTAAATTTATGTAAATAACTTCTTTTATTCCAAGTCACCTATTTCATGAATAAAAAATGATACAATTTAGTTTGTCTGAAAGAATAAATAAATATGCAGTATTTATAAAGAATGTTCTTTAAAGATAAAAACTATTCTTAAAAGAAGAAGGAATTCTTTTGGGAATGGTGTTTCCTCTGAAGAGAGATCTTGTGAGCAGTTTTATAAAATATATTTTTGCATGGTTGGTCTTCCATAGTAAAAATTGCCAGTAGTTGAGTCTACCAAAAATGTGTAATACCCCTCAAGCAGGGAAGGGCTCAGATTTCTTTTACCAGACAAATTATTGGTTGTGGGGTGTTGTGACAAATTTCTTTCAACAAAATGAGGTTGTGTTTTAAAATGTTTGGAAAGATGTTTTATGTTCCAGTTTCCTTAGTAACTATTCAGTTATGTTTATTAGATAATTTAATTCTAGTAAACTATGTGGGAAAATGAAATAAAATCAGTAACTAAATAATAATAAAGAAAAAGAAATACACTTTTCCTTTATGCTAGTAATAAAGGAACTGGAAATTTTATTACTCCACATAATTTTGACAAACACCTGTTAGGTGACACTGTTTAAGTCGATAAAAAGACAAACATTTCATTCCTCTCTCCCCCCACTCCTTGCTTCAAGATGTAGAAGGACGTAGATGAGGATGTCTCCACTGGTGTACGTTCATTTCACCAGTCCACTGATGCCTGAACTCTCTCTTCACTTTCCAATACAGTGTTAGCATATGGCTTCCAAAACCGCCATCTATGTAGTAAATCAACCTTTTATTTGGTCATTCCCACTCAGCTCAAGGCTGACCTGAGCTTGACCCCTATTACCATGCTTAAACCTGTAACAATTAAGTAAGTTCAAACTTTACTTTGGTCATTCCAACTCAGCAGAAGACTGACTTGATTGGTTTGGTTTAGTTTACTTTATTTAATGTCATATCAACCTCAATGGGTTATTTAATGCCAACAAAATTTTTAGGATAGATTCGTATGAATAGAATATGTATTCTTTGGTTTTGATTGGTTTGGTTTATTTTGTTTTACAGCATATCAACCTCAATGGATTATTTAATGCTAACAAAAATTTTTATTGCTGGTAGTATTTTATTTTGTCAAAAATCTGTTTTTGGTAATATATTTCCTTCAAAATTGTATTGCTGGTAATAATTTTTTAAAGTATTGCTGGTAATAGTTAATTATTTGCCCACATCTGGGACCCTAACAGGTGCTACCACCCCGGGTCAGGGTGGACCTGGGAACACCAGCAATTAAGAGATGGTTCCACGCTCCTCAAAACCTCCTGATCAGAGGCAAGACTGACGAGCTCAACCATTATAATACTGCTTATCTTTACTTTCCCTAACATCTGGACCAGAAAAAGAAAGTAGACATACCCAAGAGTCATTAAGAACTTTATTTCACTACAGTTCCTATAAAAAAGAGTCCATGGTAGAAAGTTTTTGTATGCTCCTTTAATTATTTATATGTGAACATGCACACACTCCCTACAATATACAAAAACCGGAAACTTCTAAATTCCATAACCATGTTCATTTATTAAGTTATACATTTAGGGAACACCATTTAATTTCCTGCTCCACATATGCAAGCAGGTATTTGGAATAAGAACAGAAAAGAATTAGGTTTAAAGTTTTAGTGATTCAAATACCTGATTAAAAATTTTCTTACAGCATTGTAAGTTTTATGCCTTATTTACATATGAATAATTAAGAAATTCTGTTATCTCAACACTTTCATAAAACTTTGCTTCATCTTTTGTGTTAAGTGCAATAAAAACATTTTATTTAAACGAAATTTAAGATAAAAAAATAAACACAATATAAAATTACCAATACTGTAAGTAAATATTTAAGTAGGTAGTTGTTGCCATGACTAGTTTTTCAACTAACTGTAATATTTTTACATTTATTTAGTTTAGCTGTCATGAAATAATTCAAGAAAATAAAGACACATTATTTTGTTAATTATTTTAGCAGTCACATTTGTATTGTTCATCTGTCAAGTGTTCTCAGAAGAGATTTATTCTGTAAGAACAAGCGGCAAAATGAAAGTGCTAATCATGTCTGTCTCAGTGAAACACTCCATCATTGATGTTGCATTGTGGGATGTCTATTGTTATCAAATAGAATAATCTACCTTGATTAATCAATAAGAAACAATTAATAATTAAATACAAATTCTCTGACATCTGTTCTTTATTTGATTTTGCATAGTATTTTCCTTTTCCCTGCTTCATTTTTCTCTTCTCTTTTCTCTATTTTCTTTCTTTCCTCTGCACTTTCTCTTTTTTTCTTGTTCCTCACACTTTCTCTTTTTATCTCATTCCTTCACACACTCTCTTTTTTCATTCCTTCATACCCTCTCTTTTTTTCCTATTCCTTCACTGGCTCATTTTTTCATTCTTTTACACTATTTCTCCGTTTTTACCACTATTTTCCATTCTTTTTTTCACATTCTTTCTTTTTCAATTCTTTTCTTAACAATCCCACTGTTCTCTCTTTCCTTTATACTTTCTTTTTCTCTTATTCATTCATGCTTTTTCTTTCCTCTCTTTCAGTCTCTTTTTATCTCTTTTTCCTCTGCTATATTTTCTTCCCTTTGTCCTTTACAATTTTTCTTTTTTTTCTCCTTCCCTATTTTTCTTTTTATTTCTCTCATTTTATTTTCCTCTTTCTCATGATTTTTCTTTCTTTTGCTTCATCCTTCATTAGTTTTCTTTTCTTTTTCTCTTTCCATCCTTCCTTTTCTATTATTCTTACTATTATTCTTTGTCATTCATTTCTATAATTTCTTTCCTTTTCAGGAATTGTCTGAAAGTCTTTGATGATAGTTTTGAGTCAGTCTTTGCTTTGCAATAATTTCTGAGCCTGACAGACAGACACCAGATTAGTTGACTTTCGGTTCTGATTAATGATTAAATAATTACTCGGAAGACAGTCATCTACATTATTGTTTTTGTCTTTTTTACTAAATGTGGCAGTTACTCATTTTATTACAAAGTAGCATAACATGGTGATACCTGAAAACAAATTCCATCTATCGCAGTCCCAATTCCAAAATTTTCTTCTCAAATGCATTCTAACCTATAATTAAGATTTATTTCAGAATTCTTCCTTCTTTCAAATGATTATATACATGGATAATAAATTCTGTTAAGTGAGGGAAAGGTTACTGTATTTTAGCTTCATAGATGCAGGTGACCTAATGAAGACTGGAATTTGTGAGCAACATTCAAATTCTGGTTAGAACTGTTTGTATTCATTTCACATTCAGGTCTTTTGGAAACCTTGAATTGTTTTTTCTTCCCTAAATGTTATGGGACCTTACCCATAATAGCATAATGGACTATTCCATACGTAATAAGTACTGTGCCTCAAGAGGAAGCAGGGAGTTCAGTCTGAAGTCTGGAGTGAGGTCTGTCAGGAGTCTGTCAGTCAGTCAGAGCGAGCGAGTCAGTCAGTCAAGTCAGAGGCAGTCCGAAACAGAGTCGTGTTCAGACAATTACTACAAGACATTGGAACAGTGATACTGGTCGAGACTACATTGTTCTCCCTATTAAACCTGATTGTTCGTACTAACACATTCTACTTCACTGTATATATTCCTGTTTGTAATATATCTGTGTTATTCCATATCTGTGTTCGAGTTCTTCTTTATTGGTTCTACCTTGGACCATCACCGTGGTACAAGGACCTGGACCATAACATTAAGTCAGAACATTTTTAGCAACAATGTGGAAATTTTTATTGACTGAGAATTTTTATAATGTATATGCTAATAGGTTCTTGTGGAAATATCTTTTGACTTTTTACTTTTCTGTCAACTAAAATCTTCAAAAATTTAAATGTAACATAAGTCATCATTTTGAATTCTGTTCTTTTATTGCCCTTTCTGCTTCTTTTAATTTCATTAACCCCTTGCATTATCTTGGCTTGGAGTGAAATGATTAGAAAAAAAATCATAAAACAGACATTTTGTTGTTTCTCATGCTAAAATGACTGGCATATTACATATAATATATATAACACACACATACATGCATATATATATATATATATATATATATATATATACACACATACACACACACACACACACACAGAAACATGCAACCAAAACTATATATATATATATATATATATATATATATATACACACGCACATATATATATATATATATAGATAGACACATATATATGTGTGTGTGTGTGTGTACACATGCAACCAAAACCACTTTTTAAATGATTAAAAATGTTTTATCTACATATAAGATTTACATAGTGATTACACATACATACATACACACACACACATTTCAAGGTCTCTCAGTTCAATTTTTTTCTGAAGCTTTTCCAACTTTTGACTAAATTGTTTTATACAGCTGGTGAACTTTCAAAAGTTCATTTTCATCTTTTCTTGTTTTTTTTTTTTTTTTCTTTTTAATCCAAATTCTTTCAACTGTTTCTACAATCATTATCAAAAATTGTGTTTTTGGTCTGTTTATGAAACTGTGTTTAGCTAATTCTGGCATTCCCAATTTGCTGAAACTAATTTCAGCTCACTTAAATGTGACATCATTTACAATCATGAAAATGAATTTTTATGTGATTTTTTTTTTAATATACAAGGTGAAGCAAAAGTCTCACACCATAGGGATAATTTATTAAATGTATAATTACACATGAAAATTTTATTTACTAGTTATTGTTATATGTGCTGTTCAAAATGTTCAGCACCTGCAAGATTTATAAACATGTCAGAGAGTTTCCTCTGTCATTTTATTGCATTCATATTTAATTTTTTCTTTAAGTTCATCAATATTTCTTGGGTGCATTTGATAAACAACTGATTTCAAATGGCTCCAAAGAAAAAAAATCCAAGGGTGTGAGGTTTGGTAACCTTGATGGCCACTTAACAGGAAATCTTGAACCTAGCTATTAACCCCTATGGTACACCACTTTTGCCTTACCCTATATATGAATGTGGGTCCACATGTTATGTTGGTGAAATAGATTTTAGTATCATGTGACTAAAATGAACTGATGGTTTACAGACATTCTTAATACAAGTGTGCTTTGAACCACAAGGTCTTTTCAGTTACATGATGCTAAAATCTGGGCACGCCGAGGTGGTGTAATGGTTAGCAAGCTTGTTTTGCTCAAACAATTACAACTGAGTAATGAGTTCGGTCCTTACTGGGTGCCCCATACTTTCAGCCTTGTGCCACATCTTAGCTACGCTTGGAAAATCACTACATGAGGCTAAAATCTCTTACTACCTTCACCCCTGATGCAAGCCTAGGCACACTTTCATAAGATGAGGCTTGTTTTATTGAATAACTTTTTTTCTGTTTTCTGAGTAGAAAATATGTACATTGTTTTTTAAATTATTTTTTTGTATTGAATATCAAATTATAAATTACAGATACCAAAATCAAGCAAGTAGAAAAATTTAAATATCTAGGAAGTGTTTTAACAGAGGATGGAAAATGTGGGGCTGAAATCTGAAGGCGCATTGGGATAGTGAAAATCTAAGCAAAGTATTAATAAACTGGAAAACTTTGTTAGAAACAAAGAAAAGAATACTTAACTGTTCTGTAATATTGGTCCTCCTATATGGTAGTAAATACTGGATGATCTCCTCACAAATGAAGAAAAAACTTGAGACAACATAAATGTTATTCTACACAAGGGTGCTGAGAATACCATGGACTGAACATGTGGGCAATGACAAAGTTTTAGAAAAAATGGAAATGAAAACGAAATTTATACTTAGAAGAGGTAGTTGAAATTTCTAGAACATAATGAAGAAAGAGAGCTTAGAAAATTTGATACTCACAAGACATATTGAAGACAAGAGGGACAGAGAAAAGCAGCACATAACCAAACTAACAAGATTATGTAAATAGGTTGGTAGAACAGGGATTAGGAGAGGTAGCAAAAAGATAAACTTTACTAAGAGCTACAAAAGACAAGAAATTGTAGCAAGCCATGATTGTCATGTCCTGAAGAAACACAGTGTACAGAAGAAGAAGATAATGATGATGATGATTATGACTTCAGCAAGTACAGCCAGTTTATATAATCAAATAACATGTCTACCTTTAAAAATTCTTGATAATCTGAACTCAGGTAGTTAAACAATAAGTCATTCTAACCCTCATTCTTCTGGGTTTGACAAAGCCCTTTGTCCCAATTGATGCAAATTCATTATAAGAATTATCTTAATAGTCTTTCAAATAGGTGCTATTCAAAGGAAATGTTGAGACATTGTCTTTGGACCAAGTAAGAGAAATGACTAAAGATATGAAAATTGTTAATGTTTTAGAAAGTGACAAAATAATAGTCTAGGTTTTCTTGATTTTACTGCTGGCAAATTTGAAAAAAAAATGTAGCACATTTGTAGTAACTCAAAAGAAATGTTGTTCTGACAAATTATTTTCCTGAAAGACACCCTCTTTTTTTCTCAAAATGATATCCTGATATTGTTTCAAGATGAAAGTAATTCCTGCAGGTAAACCTGTTAATATATTCAAATATATATAAGCAATTATACATTTGTATATATATTATATATGCGTATATATATATATATATATATATATATATATACACACACACACACATATATATATATATATATATACACACACACACACATATATATACATACACACACACACACATATATATACACACACACACACACACATATATATATATATATATATATATATACACACACACATATATATATATATATATATATATATATATGTGTGTGTATATATATATATATATATATATATATATATACACATATGGGACACACAGACACACACGTATTAGTGCATTTCTCTATATATGTATAATTCCCATTGTTTTTAACATCTGAGGGTCCAACAGGATGTTCCACCCTTGACGCTCTACTTGTGTTTGTACCTTTGATGACTTTTAAAGACTTTTTGAAACTCATGCAGTATTCCACATTTGAGGCAAGGGGGAGACACACACACACACACACACACACACACACACACATATATATATATATAAGAAAATTTCTCAGTCCAACCCACAGCCTAAAATCTCAACAAATGACAACAAAATTTGGCAGAGAATCCTTTCTTGGTTGAATTGAGAACTTTTCAGCCCCCTCCATATGTATGTATCTATGTGTGCATGAAAATGTATGTAATTATTTGTGTAGTTCTTATGCATTATATATATATATATATATATATATATATATATAAGCATTTCAAATATTCAATCTGAATCTTAGATTTCTGTCTTTATTTCTTTCCCATGAGGTTAACTTTTGACATACATTTACTGAATGATAGCTGAAGAAAATGTTTGTTTAAAAAAGCTTGCTAAATATCAAAGATGAAGACATTTGAATAAAATTTTGGCTGCCCTTGAAATGCATTTCGTCAACAGGAAAATAATTTAAAAGCAGAAAAAGAATTTTAATCAAGAAAGAAACGAAATAAGCCCATTGCTATTGATTAAAAGAATAGCTGTTTGAGAAAATCTTTTTAATTATTGACACAGTTATGTAGCCTCAGTCCATGTCTTCTTGAGAAAACACCTGGTCTTTTTAAGGTTGCATTACAAACTGCAGATGTCTCTTTATTGTCAATTCGAGTTAAATCCACCTGAAACTATTTTTGAAAATCTGTAGAAAATTGACAAATATTTTAAACTGCTTTGCTATTTTAAATTAAGTTTTCAATTTGTTTACATCAACCCAACGTGGATATGGCATGATACTAAATATCAAAA